TATTTTACCAATTTTGATAGAATTGCTGCTCAAGGTTGGTTGCTGTCAGCTAAAAACATATTTTAGAGTTTCTACACTCCATTTAATGATTAATCGATTACTAAATTAGTTGACGATTATTTCAATAATCGATTAATCACAATTGATCTGATTAATTGTTTCAGCCCTACATATTTTATATTAGGAGACTAACCTCTTGTATATATATAAGAGAAAAAAATTTGCATTATCTTATTTCAAGAGCATATAATCTAATTATTTTACTTTAAGAGAAAAAAAATACTCATTCTGTTAGCAAATCATCTTCTTTACCTACTCAAATTAAGGGTAAATACATTTAATTTAAGACATTTTTTATTATTTCTAGATGGTTTCTTCTGTGTGAACTCAGACCTTTTCTCCTGAACATCCTTAGAGCAGGAACTTCAGAATTTGCCTTCCCTTCCACATCGACTCCAAGAAACTTGACTTGTAAACAAGGCATATTCAAATTCACAAGATTTGGCTAAGGTTTGTTTGCTGTGATGTAAAGTCTTGACTTTTCCTAACGACATGCAAAGCAGGACACGAAACTGCTGGGGTTTTTAAGACTGATCACAGTCGGGAATCACGGAATTGCTCATCTTTAAATTTACCTGTATGTAGATTTCCATTTGATATAAATAATGAGAAAAAATTATAGTTAAATATTCTGCAACTCTGAGTTTGAAAACTTTTTAAAGTCCTCGGATGTTTGTTTGAGCTAAAGTTGGAGGTGACACTGACAGATATGTGTTAAAGCTGCACACTCAAAGCAAAAGAGCTGAGTTATCAGATAGATTTTCATTTTATAAGCTGAGCACTAATGTGAATGATAATTATATTGACCCTACTTGCTCAAATAAAAACTTTCCTCTTTTCAGTTGTTTTAAATTTTATAGGGCTTATGTCTAACTAAAATAACCAGTCAGGCCTGTTATGAAAATATAGTGGTGCCATCCCGCTACCTCAACATTAAACTGTTTGATGGCAGAGCAGCTGAGCTGGTCTGGTATAAAGTCGTCACATGTAGCCCTTCTTACTTGGGATTCAAATCACCTGCAGCTTGAAGGGCATGGCTGCATTACTTCCTGCACCTGCATATTAATCAAAAGACGTCCTTTTGGCAGTCAAATCTCCATTCAAATTCTTGAGTTTGTGTGCAGATTTGTGCTGGGTCAAACCAGCAGCCAAGCGTTGCCATAGAACTTGTTTACCTTCTTCTTTTTTTTATTTATTTACTTTAACTGCTAGTACTAGGTAACAAGTTGTTCAGAAACGCTCGCACAGGCGTTTTATTATGGCTGCAGGGAAACTGTAAAGTCATCCTTTGTGTGTACGGCTGCAGGGAATTATGGGTCAAATGGTCTGCTGTACTTAAATTTACATGTTCTTTCCTCCGCGTTTCACAGGGAAATATTCTACTTCCTACACCTTTTAATTTACCCCACAGCTTAAGCATTTATTTATTTCACTTGAGATAAAGATTTTCCAGATATATTAATGTGAAAAAAACTCCAAGACAGCTTATGTGTTAACCAAAACATTTAAACCGATCCATTTAAAAAGAAAAAGTAAAGCAAGATACCCCCTACATGCACACAGAGAATGACCAAAAATAAAGAAAATACCTTTTGATTTTAGAGAAATAATAAGGTACCTTTAAGAAGTAGATACATTCTGTTTATTCCTAATCTGAATTGTCAAAATGCCACACAGGCAAAGGACATTAGGTCCATATCATTATAAGTCAATATTTAGAAGAAAGTTTGCCTCTTTTTAGACATCAGAAATATAATTTGTGTTCCTGATGTTGGGAATGAAGGTCACCTGCGTGCTATGATAAAAACGCAGCCTGAGGCTCTCACAGAGAAGCTGCAAACAGTTTTTAAGTCTGTTGAGGGATTTAAAGAGATCTCAACCTATTTTAAAACAGCTGCTCCACTGAGTCTGCTGATGTCTATCCATACGTTTACCCTGAAGGCAGACTGCAAAGTGCTAAAAGAAGTTTCCGGAAACATTCTCTTGCAACTGTTGCTATTAAAGGGCATGTCTAACATATCATAAAGAAGCTGTACAAGTTTAACGTTAATAAGAAAAGTAAAGCAAGGAAAACAGTTGCTGGAAAACCAAAGGCCAGATTAAATCTAGATTAAAGATCTGGCCCCTATTTTAGGTACCAAAACAGAGATGTTTACCTTCAACCAATCACAGCATTTAAGAAATGGAAACTGGTGCCAATTTTGGACCACAGAGGTTGAGGTGTCATGGTTTGCGGCAGAAGACTTTTAAAACATAGTAAAGTTGAAGCAGAACTGGACACAAACTATAACATCAACAAAAAACAATATCAATAAGATCATCAAGGATTGATTGGAAACTTAAAAATGGGAAGTCCTAGAGTCAGATTGCACTGCTGAATGTGAGGATTATAGCACATTTTCCTCAGACGGATGTTAGCAAAGTTTATCCTGTTAAGACTCAATGTTTTATCAGCCAAAGAAAGTAAGGGGTTCTAACTTTTCTGTTTAATATTGTTCATTTTTGCTTCCTAAGTGCAATGCCCTAACTTTCTCCTCTTCCAAATAACACTGAAAAAAAAAACCCAACAAACTAGATAAAAACTTTAGGAGAAAATTCTGGCTCTGAGCTCCTGGGTTTTGAGATTGGAAGGCCGTGTAACAATCACCCTCATCTTTACTTCTTTCACAGATTCAATCAGGATTCAAAACAAAGAACATATAACATGTTGCTTCTGAGGCAAAAACCCCAATAACAAGCACCTAAAAATGTCATAATCTTGTGTTTGTGAGGCGGCGACGGGCTTTTCTCCACTCTAAATGGATGGAAAGCACTATTTAGAAACAGTGGATAGAAAGACTTCAGTAATTCTCAGAAGAATTCCACCTGCTGCAGATTTTTTTTCAGTTTAAATGTTTAAATTTATTGAGTTCACCCTGCCGTTTTGGATAAAACTAATGTTTTTCTAGTCATTTTTCTTTGCATGCAAAGCCAACAAACAATTATTTATTCAAAGTTTTGTTTTTTCCTTTTATGCTTAAACTATAGATTTGATGTCATGATTTAATCCCTTTCAGGTTGAGATGAAACTGAAAAATGAATTCACACTAAAACCAGTTAAAACACCTGAACCTCTGAATGTTCCTTCTAAAGACAAAACACCCTAAAACTCGAGGCACAAAATTGAATATATTTGCATTTATCTTACAAATTTCACATGGTATGTCCAATAGGATGAATAAAATTAGTTTCTTTCTTTAAACAGGCACAGGTGAGAGTGGAAAGAGCACCTTTATCAAACAGATGAGGATCATTCACGGAGGAGGATACACTGACGATGACAAGAGGAGTTACGCAAAGCTGGTCTACCAGAACATCTACACATCAATGCAGACCATGATCCGAGCCATGGGGCCGCTCGGCATATCCTTCTCTGATCCACAGAACAAGGTGGGTCAGAAACCAGGGAAACTGGATGAAAATTAGCAAACAGAATTATTATAAGGGCGTCATGCTTTGTCTTCATCCGACAGAAAAATGCCGACTCCGTCCTGGAGGTGGAGGTGGACAAGGTGGAGGAGCTGGATCAGAACCTTGTGGTTGCGATCAGGAACCTGTGGAATGACGGTGGAATCCAGGAGTGTTACGACCGACGCAGGGAGTACCAGCTGTCCGACTCCACCAAATAGTGAGAGTTCAGGAAATGAGCTAATAATATGATATAATAATATGATGAGAATGCCTGTGGTTCAGATGATAAACAGCATTACAGATTTAGGTCAAAAAAAGATTAAAATCCTTAGGTTAGAGATACTTAATAATAATTGAACGTTATTGATCTCACATTGGAGAAATTTATCTCTGCATTTAACCCATCCCCTTGGGGAGCAATGGGCGGCCATTGTGCTGTGCCCAGGGAGCAGTGTGGGGTTAAGGGTCTTGCTCAGGGAGCCAGAGTGGCAGTCTGGTGGAGTGGGGGATCAAACTCCCAATCTCAGGATTCAAAGCCCTTTCCCCTAACCACTAGGCCGTCACTCCCCAAGAAGCATGACTTCCTTCAGCTTCTGGGTATATAACCAATTAAAAATGTGCATTTAGAGAACAATGAAAAAAATCCCAACCAGCATCCTTTCCCCACCCTTTAAACTAATTAATCTTATAAAAACTTTGACTTCTGCCATGACAACATACTGAAATGAAACCTCTCAAACTCTGCGATGGGGTTTGGTTTTTCTATTTTTTAGAAATGCAACTTCACCATTAACTAAAATATATTCTATTCCCACTACTTTAATGCAACAAAGCTCTAATCTGTTGTTTTTCTCTGAAGTTTCCATATAAAGCACCTTCTTGGCTTGGGTCTCTCACTTTTTAAAAGTCTTCTTTGATTCTTTTTAAACCTCCTCTCATAATATCATCAATAATTTCAGCTATCTGACCGACTTGGACCGGATTTCCCAGCCTAGTTACCTGCCTGACCTCCAGGACATCCTCAGAGTCAGGGTGCCAACAACCGGTATCATTGAATACCCTTTTGACATGGAGAACGTCATCTTCAGGTAAGGTGGAGCATCAAATGCTTTAGAGAGATGGTTCTGAACGTCCCACAGGGGTGACTGTAACTCACTGTGGCTGATTTGTTGGCAGGATGGTGGATGTTGGAGGTCAAAGGTCAGAGAGGAGAAAGTGGATCCACTGCTTTGAAAACGTCACCTCAATCATCTTCTTGGTGGCGCTCAGTGAGTACGACCAGGTCTTGGCGGAGTGCGACAATGAGGTGAGAATCACATCAGAAGCGAAGGGATTTTAACACATTTACCAAAACTGGGAAATATTTAATAAAAAAAGCAGGTTTTAGGTTTCAAATGCTGAACTTGGGAATTAGTGCCTATTATAATGTGAAGAGATAGAGAGAAAAGGAAGGAGGATCTATATGGAGTCCTATTAAATAGGTGGAGGTCAGGAAAAAATGTTGGAGACCATTAGCTTGGAGATTTAATAACCTGACTGCCTCCAGCATGGGGCAGGTTTTCCTGAGATTCAACAAAGGGGAATGTTTTCCTTTGAATAAAAATTCTGCCAGTGTTACAATAGAAGTCATTTCTGATCTGGTTCCTGAAACAAAATTGCTTTGATGCCCAGAAATATCAGCCAGCACTTCCTTTTCTCCCAAGTGTCACCAAAAATACCATAAGTTATTTAGCAAGCAATGGTGTAATGCAAGTCTCTTTTTTTACCCACAGTATTCTGCTGTTTCAGAATCTAACTGCGTTTCCAATTAGTTTTTAAAACACGCAACCTTAAAAGTATATTAAAGGTATGGTGGAGGATTTTCACAAATTTTTTGAAAAGACTCATCCTCTCTGTGCACATGCACAACCCTGTACCTGCTCCTGAGAGACAATGTCCAATAAACACGTATGAGAGCGTGCACAAGCCTGTTTCTCCTAGTGCACACTGTTTAAAAGTTGCTGTTTGCATCGCGCATACAAGCTTACTTTCCAGAAGATTTGCTATTGTTCCAGTCAGATTCACAATCATTTAAACACACCTAAGGAGAATTTAGAGAAACCAATTAACCTAACTGTGGGAGGATGCCGGAGTACCCGGAGAGAAGTCATGGGCCGGGAATCAAACCCGGATCTTCCTACTGCAAGGCAGCAGTGCTACCCAGTGAGCAGCCTCCTCCACTATACCTTTAAGGGTAATACCACAGTTTGGTGGCTTAGCATGTACAGTAGCTACATGTAAAAGAAGAAAAAAATCCAGTGTTAAGTTAGTTATGAGGTAAAGAAGGTGAGCTTGATTAAAGACTTGGACAGCAGTGAATTTTGTGTTGTTTCTAGTAGAAATCAAAAGCTGCTGTTGTAACACAGGCTGTCTGTTATAACTCTGTTTTCTCCTTGACACTTGGTGTAACGTGGTTTATCTTTCCCTCTGATCCAAAATTTTAACCCAAGTCGTTTCAGATATTTATAGCAGAAGTCCTCACACTTTTCTTTTCTGCGTAGCCAATGTGATGCCACGCAATCATTCAATATATTCCCATTAAAGGGTCTTTTTTTTGTTTCCAGAGGATTTAGTTACATATGCTTCATCATCCATACATAGAAGGGCATATCTAGTGGTTCATATGTCTTTATTTTCCAGAAAAAGTGATGTGATGTTTTTCTACTTTTAAATGTGTTTTGGCTTCTTTGAAGGTTATGTCTCTCCTTCCTTGTCTTCCTTAGAACCGCATGGAGGAGAGCAAAGCCCTGTTTAAAACCATCATCACCTACCCCTGGTTTGAGAAGTCCTCCGTCATTCTGTTCCTCAACAAGACCGACATCCTCAAAGAGAAGATCATGTACTCTCACCTAGCCACCTACTTTCCTGAATTCACAGGTTAGATTTTAGATTTACTCACCAGATTCTGAACCCCAAATAATCTGGCTCTGCTATGGATTGGTCAGTCATGGCATCAACAAATTATTGATTTCGAGTTAAAAAAGAAAATCTATTCAATTTTTAGAGCCATGTTATACCTTAGGTAATAGTTTGATGCATGTTTTTGCTGAGACAAGCTCCTTGTTTTCTGTTGCAGGACCTCAGCAGGACCCCAAAGCAGCTCAAGAATTCATCCTCAAAATGTACCAAGAACAAAATCCCAACAAGGACAAGAAGCTGTACTCTCACTTCACCTGTGCCACAGACACCGAAAACATCCGCTTAATCTTTGTGGCTGTGAAAGACACCATCCTCACCGCCAACCTTAAGGACTTTAACCTGGTGTAGCTGCCAATAAGGGAAAGCCCACCCAGCTGTTCACCCATACTTGATATGAAGGCTTACCAGGATCAGATCATATCCCACAAGATCCAATTTAGCTGAACAGGCAGAACATGAATTGTGTAGGAGTGATTTTGTATAGATGAAGTTGATTTATTTCCGGTTCTTGTGTAAAGAATAGTTTAAAGTTGTAGTTAAAATGTGAATGCTAAAGAGAGATAACTTATTGACTTACTTATAATGTGTGAATAACTTTATCTGAAAATATATAGAACATTATCTGAGAGGCTTTAACTAATATATAATCTCATTTAGAAGATGCAAAAAGCTCCTTTAGGCACTCATTTCCCTGAAAGAGCCTAATTTACTCCGGTTTCTCTTGTTTAGATGTACATAATCTGCAATGTATCCGTATAAACTGCACCTCTTTGTTTAAGCAAATATTCAAATATTACTTGTTGATATTGATGCAAAAAAACTGAGAAGCACACAAATATAGTTGTTGGTAATGCAGATTAATAAAGATTGCACTGAAGTTTGAATAATATATTTTATTTCATCTTGAAAAGAGCAATAAAAAAAAACTTTAAGCAGGAAACATTCTGCCAAACCCCCTCCAAAAAGAGAGAAGAAAAAGAAAATACCGGCATCAGAAAAATGTACTCCTATTAGTAGTCGACTCGAACCGTAAACAGCAGCTGATAGTAATTAGAATTCCTTTACTTTTAAATAAACATTTCTCTGCATATTTCTTTCAGAAAGTTTGCATTGCATATTTGTCGTACAAAAACATAAAAGCGACCACAGCACTATCTGTATCCCACAGACTGACGTGAGCGGGGTTACAAACAGGATGATATTAAATGAACATACATCAGATAGAATGCAGTATAAAAAATAGCATGCATCTGTAAAGTCTTCTTTTATTAAAAAAAAGGGAAAAATTAAGAGAGGTAAAAGAAAACTATGATAATTTTACAGCGACTTTTGTTTCCCTTTTGTACAATCTGGTAGATATTTAACAGCTTTAAAGATTAAATGTGCACTTGGTAATTTGGCCTCAGTGTTATTTGAGATATTCAAGCTGTTGCAGTGATGTTACTAACATTTCATATAAAACTAAATATAGTGAAGAGGAAATATAATGAAATAAGCAGGTTTTAAAACATCTGTGTTTCATTAGCTTTTTACAGTGAATGTTACAAAATGTGCAGGTAAACTGTGGGATTTATGTCAATAGTCAAAAAGACCAATAAACTATATTTGTGAAAAAAGAAAGAGTGCAAGTAGAGTAATGACAAAGTTTGGCTGGATTCATTCTGAGATTTGGTAATAAAATTCAGAAATACTTTTAAAGCACTTTTTATGTTATAATAATTCATGCAAACAGTAAAAAAAAAAAACCAACATTTGTGCACTGCTTTTACATGTAGAAACACAAAGTAGACATGCACTAAAGAGCAAAGGCACTGACACAGAGATCATGTGTGGTTTTTAGCACATCTTAGTCTTCTTTATTAGTATTTAGGTCTAGCATCTTGCAGTTTGTCAAGAACCCACTGAAAAAGAAAAATAGTTTGAGTAAATATGTCCTACTATAAAGCATTTATTTATTATAACTTTATTCTACATGGTAAAAACAAAAGATCGGCTGACCTTAGCCACCTCTGGCGTTTTGAAGTTGATGATTTTCCCGAACTCTTTGGCGTGGAAGACTGATTTCACTCTTTCCTGCAGATGTAGAGTTGGAATTTGATTTATCAAGCCTTTTTGGGAGTTAAGGGGAAAAGAAATATGAAATTAATGTTGGAGCATTCTTTTTTACCTTGGCCTCAATCCGTAGGCGGCGGCCTGCAACAATCTTGGGATCCATTGTGAATTCTTCAAAGAGATACTGCCACTCACAGGTCAGCTGGCCGAAGGTGCCTTTAGTCACAAAAAATATTCCTCTGCAAGGCAGAGCAAGGAAAATAAGTTTAAAAAAATGTATTTGAAGTTTAAACCTAATAGGTTAGAAGAAAGCTAAACTCTGATTGTACTATGAAGAGTTTAGGGAGAGGCTAAGCTAACTAGCACTGGTAGAGAAGGTTTTAGCATGTTTACATGAACGCAGCTCAAACATTTAACTCTGCAGGGCAACACACAAATTTATGATGCTTACAAATGTGGCTGTATTGAATTAGAAATACTGTAATAACAAGAATATAATTACTTAAATTAGGCTGAAACAATTAATTGGATTAATTGATTATTTAATTAACCATCAACTAATTTAGTAATCAATTAATCATTAACTGGAGTAAAGAGGTTATAAAACACACCTTTCGCTGAGAGAGAAACTCATTTGGAGTAATAATTATATTATATTAAAATAAAATATATATATATAAACATTTTGTATGTAAGATAAAGAAAAAAGGTTTTCTTTGTCAATCGAGAACTCCTCAAGTGGAAATGTTTTAGTTTCACCTCGTTTGATTTTATAAAAAAAATGTCTTTAAGGAATCTTTTGCTATCCGATTATTAATATAATCATCCGATTAATCGATTAGCAAAATAACGGTTATATACAGCCGTAAAGTCAATACAGCTTTCCTTTGTGCTTCAACACAGGGCTGAACGATTGTGCCAGAAATCTAAATTGCGATTTCACTTTATTTTCCTTTGAATCAACCACTTACTAGGAGATGTTTCACAGCAGGCTTTCACTTTTTGAAACCTTGCTTGCCAAGAGTCCTTTGTTGCAGAATTTTACTGTAACCAAGCATGCTGCAACCCTCTCTACCTTTCTATGTGGTAACCAACCTGCTTTAAGCATATTAGCGCCTCCTACAGGACTGAAGTGAGAAATTTAGTGGCTTATAAAATTTTACAATTTTGTGTCTTTCTAAATGCAAGTAAACTGAGTGCCTCCGTGATTAGAAATTGTGTTTCTTGAATTGTTATTATAATGCAAATGCAATTAATTGACCAACTCTTCTTCAATAGTTTTAAATTGTTAAATAATGGGGGTTAATTATAGAAAAGTATTGAAGACAAAAACATGAAAAGGACAGCATCCTATAAAGAGAGCGCTCTAAAGACATGATGTGGTGAACCTATGAACCCAAAGCCTTATTTTTACCAATATACTGGATGCTACAAACCTAATTATCCTTAAGTGGAAAAAAAAAGATCATTTATTTGATAGAGTGTCAGAGCTACTTACCTCTTGGTGATCATAAAGAAGTCAGACTCGTTAACCTTGGCATGGGCAAAGTATTTGTATTTGGCAAAACGTCCATTTTCAATTTTCTGTAAAAAAATAAAAATAAGAAAAGAGGAAATTGTATGAAGCTCAGACAAAGATGAAGAAAATCTAATCAGAAATGAATTGATGTCTTCAAATGTAATGAACTAACTGTAAGAATGAGCTGTCATGGTCCGCAGCAAAATGAGTGAATGAAAGAATGGAGACGATTTAAGAAATATAAAGAAAGGATAACTGGGATGAAAACAGACAAAGGAGGCTAGAGATTCAAAAATCTTTTATTATCCACAGATTCTGACTCAAAACAACAATGAATGAAAGATTTTTCAAACAAAATGACAGAAAAGGACAAAGAAAATAGGAATGAGAGGAATAAATGAAAGACACTGACTCAAAACAAAAAAAGAAAAGGGTTCTAAAAAAATAAATACAATAAAAAAATAAAAAATTTTCTTCCAAAAACATCTGCATATATCTTTAACAGTATAAGCTAAGACTACAGACGGGCACCTACACTACTCTAAAAGACTGCTATGGTGGGTTTAAGCTGCTTTACTCATCATCCTCATCCTCTGAGTTAGTTTTATTCCGTTCAATGTAAGCCAATCGCCTCTGTGGACATGACAAGAGAGAGGAAGGCGGGTCAGAGCAGAAAGGAATGAAAAATAGTTCAACTAAGACTGAAACTCTGGAAAAGGTTCAAACCAGACTAGAATTTGGCTCCTGTTATATAATCTATCCATATAAGTTAACTAATAAAAAAAAATGATTTTATAGAAACTATTTAGAAATAATAGTCATTTATTTTTTTTAGTAAACAAATGGTTGTAAACATTTTAATCATCTAGTGGTTTAATAATAACACAGGGAGCTATTTAGCTCTCCAAAGCTAACACCAAAATCGAAGCACAAACCTATCCCTCCACAAGCAGTTAAACTACTTTCTAAAAGAAGTTCTAATTTAGTCATTAAAATCAACCCCTAGTAGCCTAAATGTCTCCTCTGACTTGTGAGGCTGCTGATATAGATGGAGAATAAATAGAAGAAGTGATTTAAATCAGATGAAGTGAAAGATTAGGGAGAGAAGGCAGGATGACTGAAATGAGGGAGGATGGTAGACATTATTTAAACTATGAGTGGAAACATTTATATAAATACTGGATTTAAGCAGCTTTGATTTTGATATCATAATATCGAATATGTGGGGAAACAGTCCTGAAAAGTAAGGCTCTGCTGAGGCGATCGCAGCTATCAGCAGTAACAGCCCCCAACTTCAGCTCCTTAAAGTCCAGCTTTTACATCAGCCATACAATGTAAGGTGTCATAAAACCTGTTGCAATATGCTAATCAATGTTGTAAAAGTATCTGCAGATGCTGCTACCAGTCTGGTAGTTTTATCCAATATTGTAGAGTTTAAAAGCAAGTGACTGATGAGCTGTTTAACAGGTGGGGAATAGACTAGGGGGCTGTCAGTGTGACACAGCACAGTGGGAAACCGCAATATAGACTGAGATGAGCCAGGAGAAATATATGTCTTCCACACAGTTCAGCTGTGAAGCATGAGGGGCTCCTTCTGAACCACAGCGGCACAAAGACAGTGGGTAATCAAAGGCAGGCCACTGATTTTAAGATTTTTTTTTAACGCTTCTGAAACGTGGTGTCAGAGCCTGTTGTGTTAAAATGTAGGAGCCCATAAATCAATCTTCAAAGTCTCAGATCAGCACAGAGGAGAAAATAAATCTACATTAGATTCTAACTATATTCATGTTTTACATAAAATCCTTGAACAGAATTGGAACTCTAATTTGTTAACCCAACATTGTTTAATAGCAGGAATAGTTAAGTCCAACAGATTCTTATCTGTTAATACCCTCAATAAAAAAATCTCATTAATAAACAAAAAAAAAATTAAAACAACTGATTAAAATCATAGATTTAATTGAGTGATATAATAAAGGCTGAGAGATAAACTGTGTAAACAATACTCTTACCTGGAGCATCTGACTCCCGATGCCTTCCCTCTCCTTATAGGGTCGGATGACACCATCCTCATGGATGAAGCGAGGAGGACGCAGAGAGAAGACATCCTGTGAGGTCTCTGCTGCCCTGTGAGCAGCACAACATGAGACCAAATAATTTGATTATCTAAAGATGCGCTACTTAAGGACTCTCTAGTACATTTAATAATTATTTTCAACACTGGTAAGGATATGTCCAAAAGCCTTGAAGTTAAATGTCACAGAGAGAATCACTGATATAATTCTCCAACAGTGACTTCTAATGGTTTTCCTACCATCTTTGCTCACTTGTTTCTCATCGTTCAACATATGATTAGTACAAAATTAAACTACTATAAACAAATACTGTAATTTGATGCATGACTGTATTTAAAGCATCTAGCAGAATGATCAGCAGATCATATTGGAAAATTAATTGTAAGAATTAATTATAGTTGGGGGGGATATTAGCAGGGTTCTACTAATCTAATTCACCTCATCAATGTGAAAGAGCAAGGCAGTGAACAAATAGCACAAAATGGAGTCATAATACCTTTTGATGCCCTGGAAAGTACTGCTGGCCATGTCGATAATGCCTCCTGTCGGTCGAGCTATCGCACCCACCAAACCTTTACCAATTCCTTTAAAGAAGCCTGCTGCTCCCTCGCTCTGAGCCCCTGCAAAATAACATCATTTATCCACAACTTTGACAAACCTGAACTGCTTGTTGCAGTTGATTAAGAAACAATTTGAATGTTTGTTTTTTATCTGAAGAGAGCACACACCTTTGATAGGTTTGGTGACAATCCCTGTGATTCCACTGACAAACCCCTAAAAATCAGACACATTGTGTCAGAGTGACGAATTAACATTTATTTTAGGCCATTTATAAAGTCAGAAAAATCTGTATTGATAAAGTAGAGTTAATGCAAAAATAAATAAATAGAATGAATACACACAGAAACCAATCCTTTTCCACCCCTGGCCAGCCCGTCTTTCAGGCCAGTTGGTTGTCTGTTCATAGCTTCTCGCCTCTTCTGCTGGAATTCCTCATCCATGGTTATTGCAGCTACACCCTTTGCCATGGCACCTGTTATCCTAGAGGCTGCACCTGCTATACCCCCTGGACATAAAAAAATAAAGAAACATTTTTCTACAAGTTTAGATATTTAATACAAATTCAATACAGAAAACATTTAAATCAGACCTTTAAGCAAATAAAACAAGTAAAATATTTGCTCAACTCTACATTTAAATCCACAATAAAAGGACTTCAGTTTATGGATGGCTGCCCTTTAGAAAGCATGTTTATCATTCAGGGTAAATATTATCTCTGTTCTGCATCAGGGTTTATTTGCAGAACTGAAAGTCCACACTAATTTAGGCAGAGCTTGATTCTTACCGACAGCTCCTCCAACCAGCGCCTTCACACCAATACCCATTCCTTCAACAAACTCTTCAGGACCCAGGATAGCTCCCTGAAGAAACAGCAGCACAAATGCACACAGAGGAATGAAGACATCGCCTGTGATGATGAGGTTCTCAGAGCTCAAAGCTCTGCCTATCATTTTTTAAAAATAGGTTATTTTCAGTACATTTTAGCTTTCATATTTCAACTCTTTGAATCCAATTATTTCGGAAAGCACAATATCCCCCATCTAATAGGTGGATTCCCAACTTTCTTAAGACAAATAGGTTCATCCAGGAATATTATACCAGTAGGTGAGCAGAGTTTCACCTAAGGCTGAGGAGACTGGACCATTTCTTGCTTTCCTCTGAGTGAAATCTATATAGAGATGTTGATTTTATTTCCAGTTGTAAAATACAGAAACTAAACTTGTAAGTTTGCCTCCTTTTTCTTCAAAGAACCTGTTGGGGTTACGCTGACAGAGCCATTAAGGTAAGAGCAAATGCAGCTTCCTCTCTGTCCCCTAATGAGGTCATGTATCTTTACAATAACCATGTTTCTGCAAACTCGGGACATTTTGTTGTACTGGTAAATGAACAGATTAAAAGGTGTTGCTATACCTACAAATGCTTATTGTTTCCATTGAAAGAATCTCCAAAACCAAACCTTCAAGGTAAAATTGCTGGTTTGGAATCAAATTTGCCCAGATTGTGATATTAATGCAAACAGGACTGTTGGATTTCTCACAGCACTGAGTGCACAAATGTATGAGTGATGGGAGAATGACAGCTTTTAGTGGAATTATCAGTTATCAATTGTTTATTCCATGTACTACATTCCTACCTGGTAAGGCTCATAGAAGAAAGCCTCGACACCTTCTGACAATCCTCTGATCAGTCCAAAGGGATTCCCCAGCACATCCAGGCCCAGCACCAGCACATACATCTGTTTAATAGCCTGAAATACACAGATATAAAAATAAGTTCCAGTATTTAGGAACCTCTGATGGACCCTTTTCTATCCATGAATCAAATGTACATAAAGCTTACTTCAAATCTTCCAAAATGTTTCTGTCTATTACCTGCTTAGAGTAATGTGTGATGACCTCCCACTGTAGCTGCTGGGTGGTATAAAACTTGAAGTATAACTGAAAAAATGCCAGCCTGAAAAGAACAAGATGGTCACACAGATAGGATTTATTCTTCTGATCACAGGAAAACAAAGAAACCACAGCTGGATGTGGATTGTGTGTGTGTGAGCCTTCGTACTGCAGCTCAACGTCCTGCACATCAGTGAGGGTGGCTCCAATACTCTTCAGCAGGAGGTTGAGGGACTGAACAGGGATGAGTTCAGTTTCCCTCTTCTCCTTCAAGCCATCTTCTCCTCCTGTGCTCAGAGAGAAACTCAAACGCAACTGCAGATAAAGACAGAAACCATTTATTTTTTTTATTATTTAGAAGTAAAACTTCCCTTTAGAACCTAATAAAACCTGGTTCTCAAAAGTAAGATAATTTATTTCATTAAATAAGATTTTAGATAATTAGGTAAAAAAGATCAAATGTTTATGGAAGTAAAAAATATACGTCCCCAATGAGTTTATTCATGTCACTAATTCAGTTGAAAAAGTGAAACCATCACCTTTTACTACTGATTAGTCTTGTAATTAGGTATTCCTGTTCTTCCATGTTTATTTTTTCCATAACACAACTGTGATGAGATAGCGAAGCAACATTTTGGATTTGTTAATTAAATTTAGGGCAGCAGCTATTCATTATTTTAGTGATCAGATAATTTGTTACTTATTACATTTACTAATTAACCTAAAAAAGAAATACTTTTAGTAAATTACTATTTATTATTAAAGAAATATTTGGAAAATAGGAAAAAGAAAAACTCTATTGTGGATTTTAAATGAATTGTAGACGTAAATAAATGCAACGTAGCATTCAGTTATAAGTCTTATGTAAATATACATGTAATTTTAGATATAAACAACTTTTTTAATCCTATATGGAAAATGATCATATTTTTTATAGAAAAATATGACCATTTTATTTTACTACTGCTCTAAGTAGGTAATTTATTTCAGCCAAAGGTTTAGAGTCTGTGTACCGATACTCTAGGTAACGATTAAATTAAATTAACAATTTAGTAGGCAATTACTTTATGAAAAGAGTAATCTCAAACAATCAGAGTAATTGCCATCTATCCATCTTTTCCTACTTATTCCATCAGGGTCACCCAGGCCTGCACCGGGAGACCATGCAAACCCCATGCAGATAGACCACATGCCGGGAATCGAACCCCAGACCTTCTTGCTGCAAGGCACAGCCTGACTGATTGCTTCAGCCCTAATTACATCTGCAGAAAGGATTTTTCTTTGTTACCCACCTTGATAGGGGAGATGTGGAAGTTCTCAAAGAGGCAAATGGATGATGTGTCAGTAGAAGAGACATGGTTCAGCTCTGTCTTTATGTACTCTATGTCATCAGCAAACAGCTCCACCTGGTGGACGAACAATGGATCATGGAGTAATCATGCAGAGAAAATTGACAATGAGCCGTTAGAAAACATATTTACTTTTGCTTATTATGTAACACTGATATGTTTCAGGTAATTACACACATTTTACTTATCAGAAGAAACAATACATGTTCTGCTACAGAATCAGCCCCAGTCCAACAAAAGCACAATCACCACCATGTTTGACCATGTTTGCTTTAGTCTCTTAGGAACAGCTTTTTAACCACAACAGCAAGCTTCATAAAATGTATCTTCCACGTGTTGTTGAATTTCAGTAGACCTTTAAATTGGATCAGGGAATTTACTTCACTTACAAAGTAGTTTACCGATGTTAAAGTAGAACAATGTGGCCAGAACTTATATCCCTATATCTTCTTTATTTCAATTTCAACTGATAGATTGTGGGGAAAAAAAATGTAACCATGTTAACAAAACTCATCCAATAGAATAGTTTAGAAATATTTGCTTTTAAAGGAAAAACACAAACAAATACATAAATTCCAATATGTCACTTAGAGAGAAATGACTTTAATGTATTCTGAAAAAGTTTAAAAAACAATCCACTGGACTTTGTTTCCAAGGTTTGAAGACGTTTCGCTTCCCATCCAGGAAGCTTTCTCAATTCAAAATGTGGAAACAAAGTCCTGTGGATTGTCTTTTAAAATTTTTCTGACTATTACCTGGATGACTGATAATCTTCACCAGCAGACTTTAATGTATATTGAAATATTGGAAATGTTATACTGGATACAATTAAATGCGAAGTAAACTAAATATGGAATTATTACTCACCATCTTAATGATCAGTAAAAGATTTGTTAATCACCGTTTAATCATGAGGACAATTCATTTTGAAATAGTGCCAGGTTAGTTTTGAAAATCCCTCCCCAAAAATAAATTTATATTTGTCCATTACTAATAAAATATATTTGAATGGTAAGAAAGATTTGCAATGAAACAGCATTCATGGCAGACTTAAATCCAAGGAAAGCATTTGGTAAGCTGACCTCCTGTTGTGAAGTCATGGCACCAGCCTTCTCAGAAGTAAAGAAATCAGAGATGGCGTACAGAAAACCCAGATCAAGCTTTAGAGTCATCTCCTGGATCAAAACTGCAAAGTACCTGTAGTCAAAACACAATTTATATGGTTTTTAAGAGGGAACAAAAAAACAAACAAAAAAAAAACCACTGGAAGAAATATTCTGAGTGGGAACAACTTTAGAGAAACTGCTGCTTCTAACAAGATAGGAATGTTCATTATATATTTAAAAACATCTACATGCACATACAGGTTAAAAATTAATTTACAATATGATAGAGGAGTTACCATTTCCAGACAGAATCATTCTAAGGTAATGTATCTCATATATTGATGCAATTTCAGAAGAAATGTAACAAAGTTTCTATGACGGTATAAGTAATAAAATATATATTTTTTTAATATGACAGATCACGTATTAACAAAACATACTTGATGCGAGAGATGTTTGAGTGTCCAGCTGATCTGGTAACAATGCTGAGGTCAATAAGAGGTTTTGGTTCTGGAAGGGAAATAAAAGAAAAAAAAGCTGTTTTACATGAGTAGATTATAACAACTGAAATCCAATGGAGGAATAACAGACCTGTGTCCTTGGCTATCGACTTTGAGGGTTTGACAGGGTAAAAGACGAAAGGGAAGATGGCACCTTGCAGCTGATTCTGGATCTGAAACAGGAACAAGTTTGCATTAATTAACAGGAACAAACATTACAAACAGTAGAGACAACGATGAGAGCAACTCTATGGAAGACTACAGAACAAGAAGGTGTAGCGTTTTTTTAAAAAGAGAAAAAAATATGCATACCGAATTTATTGTTAAATTTGTGGAGTTTTGTCTAGCATTGAATTAAAGATAATAATAATCTATAAAAACACATTTTTGTGTAGTGAAAAAGAGTCTCTGTTCAAATATCACTAAATTAATTTGATTTGCAGAGCAAACATGACTTCTCTAGTTCAGTTCAGGTACTAATCTTAAACTTAGATGTTCTACATGAAATACTCAGCATGTCTGTTATTGTTTAGTGATAATGATGAGCGATTATCAATTACAATTTCTTTCTGATCCAAGAAACCTGCAGTGCTTTTAAATCAAATGTTTCTAAGATGATTTCTAATACCAAACTATAACATTCACATGATATACGAGAGGAGAAGGACATCATCACTGACATTAAAAAGCTTTGTAAAAATATTTGCTATTTCATTTCACCTGTATGCGATGGATTTGGACTTGGTAGGAGCTCTGTCCTGGTGAGATGCCATACACTACTTTCACCCCCGGTAGGTAGGTCCGCCTTAGAGGAGCGTCTTGTGGCTGCAGCATTTGCATATCTGTACAATTAGGTGTAAATCTGACCTGAGAAAGGATAAAAAAAATTAAAACTTAAGTCCAATATTTATATTAATCTGCATTCTCACTACAACTGGAAAGTAAAAGGGTTACACCTGGATAGCTAACAGATCATTCTGAATGACACCTTTTCTAAATACGTGATCAAATGGTTAAATCTGATACTAATTAGAGCAGCAATACATATCCTCGAACCTGCAAGTCTCCCAGATTGGCGATGCAGTAGTCTACGGGTGAGGTTTCAATGTAGTCTTTGAAGCAGTTCTCCAACATCTCAACCTGTCCTTGGCTCAAGGGTTTCCACCGTCCCTTCTTCTTGTGATTAATCTCCCATACCACGTCAGAGCTAAACAAGACAACACAAACAGGGAAGTTTTGTTTTATGAACATTTCTGCTTTAGATTTGACTTGTAAGTAAACATTAAGTAATAGGAACTGCACCTAGTGATTCCAATATAGGAAACCTCTTGGCTGTTGGTGTTGTTGACCAAGGAGATGCCCATATTCTGGAGCAACAGGATATACTCCTGTTCAGGCTGTCGCAATCTTTCATTTTCCATAAGCAGTTTGTAGATCCGCTGATCCTCAGTGAACAGCACAACATGCTGGAGACCTTAAGATAATGATGCAAACGTCACATGACAGAATCCAGGATTCTGGGACTGTGATGACCCGCTAACCTTACCTTCATAAAAGGAAATCACTTTAAGTTCCCTATTTTTATTATCCTGGTCATCAATTTCATTCTGATGAAAAAAGAGAAATACTGTAGTTAATCACCAACATCTTGGATTTCATGAACTGTATCAAATGTCTAAATGCCCAAACACGCCCTGTTTTAAATGAATGAAACAGAAAATCTCCGTTAATCGGAGTCTAGCAGAACACATAACTACAACGTTCACTTATTAAGTAGACCAAGTCCTTTTATGAAACTATTTTATTTAATCTGGTAGAATTTTATATTTCACAATCAATGTTATAAGAAATAAATACCAGACAGCATCCAACCTTTTTTTGTTGAGAGAGAAGTGTATAACTACAGGGATAATTTAAGTGTCTTATCTTACATGTCCAAACAAGCAAGAAAAAAATTTGTATTTCACTTAATGGTTTTAAAGTATAGAATAAAATGCAGAATGAAAGCAATGTTTAAGAATAAAAAACTGTTAAAGGAAAGGTTTAAACTAGCTTTCCTAAAAAGATTTGTTCAATGTTGTGTGGGTTATGGGTATTAATTGTATGAATGAAGATGTGTGTAGTAATGTGTTTATGTATGTTTATATGCACACATTAAGTATTTTGCTTACTTTATAGACTTTGGAGCAGTATGGACTCATAAGCATAAATCAGGAAGATTGTTCTGTTGTTGAATATAAGGGCTATGCAAGAAGAAGGGCTATGATTAGACAAGTTTCACTTCATCATACCCCTTTTCAGACATAAGAACTAATTTATACATAAAGGGCCTAATCCAGGCATGTCCAAACTTCGGTCCTCAATGATCGCTGTCCTGAAAGCTTTAGAGGTTCCCCTGCCTCAGTACAGCTGATTCTAATGACTTTAGTTAGGAGAAGCCTGTTAATCAAGTATCAGTGGAAATCAGCTGCACTGAAACAGGGAACCCTCTAAAACCTGCAGGACAGCAGCTGACTGTCCTGAGGGCTGACTTTAGATATGCTTGGTCTAATCTCTAAATATTACAAATAAGGGGCACTATATTGCACATGCCATCTCTTTGTAGTATGTGCAATAAGTGGATGTGTTGCGAGTTGTCTACAGATTACAGCGCAAATGTTAAGACATGCAAACTACTTGTTGTTCCGTGGCTTAAAAACAAGCAATTGTTCTACATGCAGTTGAGACTTGCCATAAAAGCAATACGAGGTTTTACAGTAGCAGCCGTTCTAAATTAGCCTTCCCAGTCAAACTCCAGCTGAATAGCAGCCCACTTCCCTGCATCTCCAAGCAAAATCTCATTCAACTTCCAGCCACTGTAGTGACCCCTTCTTCTCCTGGGTGTGCATATATTTTACTCTGACTCCACCCTTTCACTGAATTACAGGGTCTGACCAGGAGAAGGTGTTTCTCTTTAGATCTTAATGTCCACAAATCATGACAGAAATAATAGTTTAGTACAAAGATTGATGTTTAAAAAGGAATTGTAGGGGACCAGCCAAAATGCGATCGTGGAAAATGGGGGAATTTGAATTGCTACTACTGTAAGCCATACAGATAGAGGTAATAATGGTAAAAGGTATAAAAAACAATTTTTTTTATATATATATATATATATATATATATATATATATATATATATATATATATATCACTTTAGATAGGTAGCCTGTCTCTACATGTTACATACAGAAGTAAACAAAATTATGACAATGAGCGAAATTAAATATGACATATAATGAGATATGAGCATGTTGTTTTTGTCTGATGAAAAACACCAAACAGAAAACATACAAAAAGAACAACTTACAGAGCAAATCAAGTAAACCCCCTAATTTCTTAGGTATAAACAGCACATACAATCTCAGCTACAGTACCTTCTCCACCTTCAGTACCCCATTGTACTGCCCCCATCTCCAGCAAAGCTCTCTCGACCCAGTGGGCTCAGTCCAGGTGTAGTATATGGCCTTTCCAGCCTCCAATTCTTCCCACTCTACCTCCATCTGAGAGCTGAATGCGCAGAGTGCATCCAGAGACACAACAGTAACAAACAACATTAGAATAGATTTAAAAGAAAGAGCCGCAGATTGAAAGCAGAAACGCAGAATGAGTAAATCAGAGGATAATACTAGAGGGCACATGCAACCATCAATACCCAAGGAGATACGGGGGAAAACAACAGAATATACAGTCTTCTATACACCCCAAAGCTTATGATTCTTGGAAAGTAAGTACACCTTGTAACCATTCTAGGGGATTCTGACCTCGTCTTTCTCAGGATCTAAAATTATTCAAATCCAATAACAATTAAAAATTTTAGCAGAGAAAAACCTTACTAAAAAAGTATGTAAGAGCAAATGTAAAGAACTAAATTTATAGACATTTACAAAGTATTTAAAACCCCAGAATTAAAAGAAGATGTACTTTTGAGTATCTGTTCGAATAAATATGAATGAAAATTGTACACAAAGCAAGAAAGAAGTGTAGTCTGCAATCTAGAAATGGAGAAAATGAAAGGAAGGCTGGAGCAGAAGAGAGAGAAACATTTAAGGTAGAATCCCATCGAGGTCGGAGGAATATCAGGATAGTTATTGCTACAAATTAATAGATCAAATGAAAATAAGGTTAGGTGTGTAACCTGCTCTGCTTCAAAATACATCAAGAGTGGTAACAAATTGATCAGAGCAGAATACTTTACCCTGAAATATGCTTAAGATGGAGATGAAGAACAGCAACACAGAAGGTTTCAAAGATGTCAGTTCGGACATGGGAGCGGGTTACACAGTCGGAGAGGAAAAAGACTTCTACTCATTTCTAACTGCGCTAGTTATCCACACTCAGAACTAAGGTCAGTAAACTTACACAACATTGCAAAGCTTTGTATACTTTTTTTTGCTTCACTATAACTATATGTCTGCCAAATAATCAAAAAAAGAAATCACTTGGATCTTCTGAAACAATTTACCCACAAACTTGGTCTGACTTTCTTCCTTTGAAAGGTATAGACATTTTCAAAACTAATCTCCAATTTCTAGGAGAAAAAACAATTAGGGGAGCACACAATGATTGCGAAGGCAAGAACATCATGATTCTTTTTTGTCATCATGACATATATCCATAATTCTACTTTTGTGTTCACATTAGTTACGTGCCATATTCATCAGATGATATCCAATAGGTACCATCTATTTTTCATCTTTAATAGTAGAATTCTACTTTCACTCTTTTGTATTAAACAACAGAATATATTTATTTAAAGTCGTAGGGAAACGGCTGTTCCAACCGCTGCATTTCCAAGTTGCCCCGAGTGGTCCACGACTTTACACAACTGAATAAAGTGAATGTGATTGGTTGTTTATCAAGGGGGCGTGATTGTTGTGGCGGAAGATGCAAGCACGTTTGGTTGTGGTTGGTGTCTCGGAAGCATCTTGCTAAACAGTTAGCAACTTAGTGCTAGTAGGTTCCCAATTGGAAATTCCATTGGGACCAAGTAGCACTAAATTGGTGACTTGGAAACGACACTGTTAAGGAACGCAATGGACAGCGGAAACATGCAAGAGTCAGTTTTGTGTTGGAGGTTGTGGATGAGTCTCCTTCAGCATACATTTTTTTTTTTTTAGAGGAGGAAAGTGGGGACGAAGATGTTGTGGAAGAGGGGTGGCAGAAGCTGAAGCTTAATTTGGAAGGCTTACAGTCGTACATGTTTGAGCCCTTGCCTCGCAACGCTGCAAGTTCTGTTAGCTCTACACCTGCTGAAGACACAGACGTCCATCCCCGTGAACACTGGGACGTAACTCAATGGTAAAATAATGATTCTTATTTCAACTGTTGCGTATATTAGCTGCGACATATTAATCAAGATGCTATGACCGAAAAAAATTGATTAACAGAAGATCGTTGATATATGATTGGCCGAATTTAGGTGTACAAGCTGACGTATAACTAAGTGGCCTGCATAAGATAACGAAAAAAAACCCCACAGATTTTAGGACAGGTTTTTTTTTTTTTTTTTTTTTTTTATAAAAATAGAAATTTTCTATATTTTGGGACAATATTGTCTAGTAAAGAGCACATTTATATACATGTTTAAGCCAGAATGATTTGATATTTAAATATGATTTCCCTACGGCTTTAAGCATGACATGCACGGAGCCATTTTCACTTCACATCTTTAATAGGACGTCACAATACATAAAATTTGATTTCTTTGAAAGCACTTTTGCTGAAAGGAAAACGGATTATATACACAAGAGAAAGTTGTGTGTTTAAGATAACATACAAAAACCATCAACTAGATTTGTTTGTGTTTGTCTTATTTTAAATGGAAGAAAAGCAGCCTAATTATTCCTCAACCAGTCAATAAACCAATAAACTCCCTCTAAATATGTTTTTATTATGCATTTTTGAACTCTATTCCAATTCTTCTAATAAGGAATCCTTAACCTCAGTTCTGAGTGTGTCTTAAATTTTTTTAGGATCCATATTTTTCTACCTGTCCTCCTGCTCTGAGAAGGAAAGGTCGAGCACCGAATCAGCAACCCACAGAGTCTCTTTCGCGGTGCTACATCAGCCACACAACAAGGGGAAAAAAATTAACGAATCACCATCAACAACAATGAACTTTGTTATTTACTATAATTTACACTGTTAAATAGAGATGCACCAATTGACTGGCAGGAGGCTGAAAGTATGTTTTATTATTGCCTATTTTCAAACAGTAAAAACAGATTAATAAGTATTTTTTTCCAATATAATTGCTGCATTAAACCAAAAGCCTCCCATTATTTCCAGTCAGTAAACTGTAAATCGCTTTACTCAGATGCATTTGTTAGAGATAACAAAAATTTTATATACGTTACTGAGATGTTTTTAAGTAGGGATAATGTAGGAATTTTTTCTATTTCCATTGAGCTTGAAATTCAGACAGAAAGAACCTTAGCCCATGAAAATTGGAATAAGCAGGTCAGACCTGAAAGAAAATCCTGACTCAAAGTCAGTCCTAAAAACCCTATCAGTGCACCTCTATTGTTTAACAGTGCAACAAAAAATGCATAAATACAAGATAAAATGCTACATATGAGGAAAGTATCATCAAGTTGGGACAAAAAACCTGGAAGAAAAAAAGGCCCAATAGGGCTTAAAAGGTTAGAACTGATGAAAATACAACTGACATAGCTATGTTCAATCATAGTTTTTAAGGCTGTGTAAAGAGAATTCCCCAATTTTATTTCAAACACATAAATGTACTACTCGACACAGGTAAAACGTCTCCCAACCTTTTATGATTGCACAGTGAAACTAGAAGTAAATCTTTGTTTCAATATTTCTGGATTTTTTAAAATGTGTCTAAAAGTGGCGTCATGTCATCATGCAGCGGCCTTCAGCATAGGCCCAGCAGTTTACAAGCCAACAGCGAAGCCCCCTAGGCATTGATGCCAACTTAGCAAAATTGTTGCTAAGTTCTAAAAAATGAATTAAGCAACATAAAAAGCACTTAAATATGTAGAATATACTGAATACTCCCCAAGTATTGGTTCTGGAAATAAAATATGCACAGAATTCAGAATAATTCTGATTTTTATGCAGTTTTCCCAGTAACATCACTACAGTATTTACATTTACACTTAAAGTGTTCTGCAAAACAGTTCCTATGGGATTTTGTAGGAAATATGATATCATTAATAGGTGAGTATTCCTAGAAGATGGAGATGTGAGTTGAAAACCTGTTACATGCATTTAAAAATGGGGAAATGTTCAAAATGTGTAAAAGATCATGAATGATAGGGACAATTAAGTATAGAAAAAATTCTGACACAAATAGCTTTATTAGTTCTTTGAAGGCTAACACATTTGGTTAAAGATATTTATGGTTCACTGACCTTTAAAATATTAAAACTACATTTCAGTCATTAATATGCACTATGTTCTTTATTTCTTAATGCAATAAAAACTGAGGCAGCAGAAGCATGGCATGTGAGGACTCCTGCTTTCACTTAATGCATCTTTTCAGTCTAAAGTATCTATAAATAAACAGAGTGTACAGCATCAAAATAACCCAACTCATTGTCATCTACAATTAAGACAGTTGAGAACTTCAAAACTGTTATGTTTGTTTTAAAGTCATTTCCTACCTCTGTCCGAACAGAAGGGTTTGCTCTCTGGTGTGGTTAATGAGGAGGAAAGGGGCCGCCCCGTCATGGTAATCAGAGAAACGGATGGTGGTCGAGTGCTCCGTCAGGTTCACATCAACAATGATCCCGCCCACCTGAATAAAACAAACAGAAAGTGAGATAACATATAAAGTTGCTTCCATGTTTATTCCTGTGAATAAATAATTGCGTTTCCTTACAGAGTTGTCCAGACGAAGCAGCAGGCAGTTCTCTGCTTTCGTGAAATCAATAGTTTGAGGAGGAGCTAAACATCCTTCTAATTTGATCTTCAGGCGCCCGGTGTCACTCTCAGGCCAGAAAGGCACAGCTGACTAAACGAGAGAAAAAATAAACAGGAAGAAGAAAGTATCTAAATTGCCAGAACATACCATCTAGCAACTAAAATTACCCACTTTTAAGACGAAAATTTTTACAAAAAAAAAAATTTAAGTGCAAAACCCATCTAAACAAAATAAAGGACAGTTTCTTCAATGCATCAGAAACCAGAACAGATATGAAGAATTCTAAATCAGCAATACCTGATGTAGAATGCTTAAACACTATGAAATAAGTACATTCTATTGGTGATAATGGACCAAAAAAATAAAAATGAAGCATCTAGTACCTGTTGTGAATCTACTTGAGCCCAGTTGTCTTGGCCATCCTCGCATATAAAAATCGGGTGCTTGGTTCCGTTGACCAGAATATAAAATGGTAGAAAGGTCACCATGCGAGTGAGACTGAAGCTGCTTGCATCTATCTTCACACCAACCTGAGAGCAGACAAAAAAAATGCAGTAGATTTGGATTTTTTTAAGGTCAAAACATAACTTCCAGCTGCATATAAATAAATATGTCACATAAAATATATTTGTTAAAATAATGAAGTTACAGACTTATTACAGATAGAGTAACACATAATTATTTCTGCTAATCTTGATGAAAGGACTACGTTGTAAGTCTGAAACTTACAAATGTTTAGAAAAGTTTATGTGCTGCATTGATGCTTTTAGCAAAGCAGACACAATTTGGACTGCTTCAGACAGTGTAATGTTTTAATGCAGAAACGTAGAAAAGTCTTTAAATTAGATTCTATAAATGACCCAGATAATCAAGATAAAAGATTAGCAAATATTACCCGGTAGTCTTTGTATCTGCCTTTACATTTCACATCACCATGGCTACCAACTGTGTCTAGAGAGAAATCATCTGACAGCTCACTGTCAGAGATCATGAGGCGGACCTGACAGAGACAAAAAAAACCACATCATTTAGCAAAGCAGGGATGTAGTATTTCTTTCTAGCTCACTTATCAGAAAAATTGATTAAAAAATAATAATAACATGAAGCCGTTCAGATTCTGACCTTATTTTTCCTCAGGAAATTGCGAGGCTTAAAGGAAAAGAGGAGGGGCATATCATAGTCTAGGGGGTGTTTACGGTGGATATCGTCAGCCTTGTACTGTAGCAGCCTCCCTGTTTTATTCACCATCCAGTATGGAGAGTGGATGGCAACGACAGTCTGACCTGGATCATACTTAATATGCACTGCAATATCCAACTCAGCCCTTTTTCTCTCTGAGCCATCTCCTACATCTTCCTCATCAACCCGAAGAGACTGGAATACAATGAAGGTGATTTCCTCCTGCTCACTCTGGATTCTACAGGAGAGGAAAAACATATCTAATAAGAAACAAAACCACAACCTCAAGTTTAATGATACTGTGCATTAGGATAAAGTCTCCCATTTTTGTTATGTAGGTTGCATAGTAAACTAGCTAAACGTATAAAAACATTAAACAGAATCAAATTAAAGGTGAATTCATGTTTCGTTTTAAATAAGATACAAGTTGGACCTGTATTCTGAAGACCAGTCCTGAGCCAAATAATCCAGAAGGCGGAGATCAAGACTTGACTGGTTGATGAGCGCAGTGTGAAGCTGAGTAGAGTGGCCAGGATTCAGGGTAACTTCAGGGCCACAAACCCCATTTCCCTGTTCGGGAAAAATATGTTTCTTTTAATGAATCACATAAATATATATTTCATTCTTCAAATACATTTATTTTAAATAAGTGAAGTAGGTAAGAATCTGGAGATATGGAAGTGTACTTTTATTCAGGACTAGCCCTCTTGTATTAGTTAATGTGCTCTCAGATGGGTTGTCTTGTAGCTTTGGTAGGCGAACCCATGCTGGCAAGGTTTACAGCTGTTTTAATGTTTTCTCCATCAACAATAATTACTGGTGTCCCAAAGCTTTAGAAAAGGCCTCTAGGACTCTTTAGACTGATAAAAAGAGGTGCACGCATTTCATTAATCTAGGAGGATCGGTGATCGGCCAAAGCTTAGATAGAAAACTGATCCCCAGATCTACCTCTAAAAACTGGTATCAGTCAAAAGCAACATGTGTAGCTTTTTAAAGATCAGTAATTGGACAGATAACTTTAACCAATCTTACATCTACATCAAATATTTTGTTTCTTATCAATTCTTGGATTTAGTTTGCATTTAGGGATCGTTTAGCCTTAAGTAAAAGAAACTGCCAATTTTCCTCTGAACACATTATAAATGACATAAATATATTGTTCTAAACACATAAAAAGCCTCCCAACCTTTAAGATTTAAAATTAAAAATTTTGTGTTGCAGGAGTTTGTGGCTATGTCTGAAGCACAGACATAGCTTCCAAAAGATGAACGTCTGAACAAACTCTGGATTTTTATTTTAAAAGACATCAGGACTATCACCAACACTTTCCTCCGTAAAGTTTTGCCAACTACCAGGAGATTAAGTTAGGGTTCATGGACAGTGAGTTGGTGCTAGTTTGTGAATCTGATCGTCATTTCCCTCCCTGTCTCTCATCCTCCTGACATCGCAGCCTCTCAAATTGGCATCACTCTCTGCAGGCAGGATAGGTGCCCAAAAAAGAAATGGAAAAAAAAAAAACAGACATGGAAAGTTGCACTTTGTGTTTATGTTTTCCATATTTAGGGCAAATACTCTTGCATGTGGGCGCAGTCTCAGCACCTCTTGGACGCATTCAGTGTTTTGGAACAGAGAAAACCTTATTTTTTCTTTATTTTGAGACCTAATATTGTATGTTTAGCAGTGTTTTCAATCACTCCAATTTGGCTGGGTGAGTGATAACATATCCCTGCGCTGCAAAAAACTCACATGTTTATTGACACTTCACATGGATTATAATGCATTTTATGTTTTTTTTAAGTCTGGCATTTTAAAGCCTGGGTGTATCTAGGAAAACTGAGCTCAGCTGTTTAAAGATGTTGGTAAATCCTACCTTTAATTTGTAGGCAATGGGATAAGGCAGGAGATTTCGTAGCAGGACTGAAGGCCAGAGGTGAAGCACAAAGGGCACATCAAAGTTCTCTCCAATATCTCCAGTCTCCTTGCATGACACTGTGTCTTTCACTGGCACAATGTTGATCGTCATCAGGGTAGACTCATCACTGCGACAACGGCAGGTCTGCTTAAGGTGAGAGTTTGGTTCAAGGTTGCAGATATCCTCGTAACTGAAACCCCCTGATAAATCAAACTGATTTCCTTCATCAGCAGTGGCGTTTTCCATTATTGGCTGTAGGCTGAGTTCAGACCTGAGGACGACAGCGGAGGTTAGTTATAAAAAATAAAACCAAGCATTTGGGCAGTTGAGGTAAACCAGAAAAAGATGTTTGCTAATGTGAAAAGGGGGGATTTATAACTTACCTGTATGAATCCAGAGGCACACAGAACTCCTCAGACGGAGACGCTTCACCAAGGCATGTAGATCCCTCGAAAACATTGAATGGGACCGTGAAATGATTGATGATCTGCAAAGAAGATAAGAAACTAGTTACAGTAAAATATGGTATCAAGTATGTTGTTATGCAAATGCCCAGGAGAATGAAATCCAATTAAAAAAAAAGGCTGTATAGGGATTTGCTATCTACCTGAAAAGGAGAGCGGATCTTGATGCATTTTCTGCCCTCCACAGAAGAGATCTGACAGACAAGGAAGCGAGTGACGCCCGAGTCATTGTGCATGACATTGTACATACCCCTGCCCACTTTGATCAGGGGGATCACATTGGTTGAGGTGTGGCCCACTGGAGCTGAAAGAGATGATTATAGAATTGTATTGCTAAACCACTTTGTAAGCTACATCAATTAACCTGTTTAAAAGGGTTAGAAAGTTCAGTGGAACGCTGCAGTTTTGGCTACTCTGGAAAACCTAAGACATTAGAACAAGCCAAAGCTTGATAAATACAAGATTCTCATATTCAAACAAGAGGCTAGGAATGTATAATAATAAATGTCTAATAGAAAAACAATGTTTTAATTAAAATTCTCCAAATTAAACTGCAATCATTTTAGGAGTGTTGAATGTTTGGGCATTTAGTTGTTGTTTGATAAAAAATAAACTTCACAATTTGAAACATTTTTTAGGACATACTAAAATAGTAAAAAAAAATATAAATAATATAAAAAACAACATCCAACTGTTCAAAAGCTGTGGTACATCATGCTTTCTGTCTTTATTTAAAGTAATCTCTGGTTTTAAAGAAGCTAAATTCCAAGCTGGGAACATAGAAATTAAATACTATTTTCAGACATTCAGAGTTGGTGGAGAAATGGCTGAAAAGAAAAGTGAAAAGAAAAGAAGTGACAGAAGAGTACAGAACTCTGAAGGGGCTGATTACACCTGTAGGCTTTTCTTCATCAAGTTCCAGGTCGAATAAACAGTTCCAATAAAATACAGTTTAATGGTAACGTATAACTTACTAGGCTTTATGTAGTAATCTTTTTCATTGAGCGAGGTCATAGCAGAAAACTGATCAGAGTGTGCTGTGACTGAGTAGTCCATGTGGAGGCTTTCGCCATCCTGCAGCTCCACAATGTGCTCAATGCTCTCCTTGCTGACGGGTGAAAACGTCTCACTATGCCAGACAGAGACGGGAAGACCAAGTCGATTTTTCACGACAAACGGAGCTTCATCCTTTTGAAAACACTCTGCAGTTTGTTTGGCAGCTTCTGCGAATGCCTAAAAAAATTAAGTAAATAGTAAATCAGCACACACGTTTAGGCAGGTAACAACAATGGAGGTCTTTTTCTGATTCTCTTACTGTGCCAAGGTTACTCAGCATGGTGAGTCCACACTTGGAAACGGTGATGTTGAGCTGGTCTTTACTGCTGATGTAAAACTCTGTCTTATAGTCTGGACTACTATAATCCACTTCGTCTGAAGAAGGGCTGCTCTTTATTGCCTTCTTCTTCATCTGATTGCAACAAATTCAATTGTAAGACAAGGTATACATTTTAATCAGGGTTTACTTCAACAAAATTGTTCACACTACCTTCAGTTTTAGAGTCCAAGGAGTGAAACTTTCTCCTGTGTCATCCTCCAAAGGCTCCAAGAGAGGCTCCCACACTCCCATCATCTCATTGTAATAGTGAACCTAAAAAAAAAAGTATAACAGTGTTCTCATAACTTAAAAATAAAACAGAAGAAATAAATGTGCTTCCTTTATTTTACCTCAAGGGTGAGTTTGCTGTGGAGGTTAATGAGTGTGGACCAGTTTTTAACATCTCCTTCAAAGGAGGATTTGGCGAGAAGCATGGGCATGGTAAGGTGTCCCACTCCAGCCTCCAGAGTCACAAAGATTGAGTCTATGGACAACTGCAGAGACAAAGATAGTAATACAGTCTGAATATACAGTCTTTCTCTATATATGAATGAAAAATAGATCAATACCTCTATAGAGGAATATTGTAAGTGTTAAGTTTACCTTTAACGACTCTCCCTGTGGAATCAGTGGGGTCAGAGACTTTGTGTCTATATCCTTCTCCTCTTCTAAGAACCAAAGTTTGAGCTCCTTCCAGCCCCGTTTCTGCCAGAGGTCCACGGGAACTGGGCTCTCCAGCTCCTCAGGAGTCTCAGCCTTGGGCGTCAGAGCTGACTGGATAGTAATCACTGTGTTGATGATGACAGGAGATACCTGGACATAGGAGTATAAAACAGGAGGATTAAAAAAAGTCTTCAAAAAAATCCCAATTTAACTTATTATTCCTGTTTACTGTAGAGAATAACATTAGAATAAACTGTAGATAATTCAATACACACCTTCAGTGAAATAGCTTTTATTTCAATTTTCATAGCCTGAGGAGCCCCTGAGGGCTGATAACTTTCATAGAACACCTGACATGGCTGCAGAATGGTGGTCATATTGTTCTTCCTCATCTCTCTTAAGAAGGGGCATGCCATAACCTGAAATGACACAGACATACCAGTTATTTTCCTGTAAATATGAAATGATTCCGGGCCAATAAAAAAACAAAAAAAAAAACCTTTAGGTCTTTGATGATGGCGGTCATCAGTGACTCCGCTCCGCTCTTCATCGACACCTCACACTGTGTGGTCATCACCAGCGCCGGGGCGTCTGCACGCGTCAGGTCGGCAACAAAAACAACTTCCGGGTTACGCACAACAACAGTCATCTCCATCTTTGACACCGGAGCTGTAGCTGTACCTGAGAGCAACAAGCAGTTAAATCAAAGGCTGCCATGGCCATATGAGAGAATCAGACAAGAACATTAAAATCTCAATTTTCTAGAGTTCTTGGTCCTTTATGTTTATTTAATAATACACTAATAATCGATATGTTCAAGGAAGATTCTTCTCAAGCTTAAAAAATCGAACGTGCAGAAAGAGGGAAATGGAGGCAAATTCATAATGAAAGAAAGGAGGGACAAAAGCAAAGAGAAAATGAAGTAATTAATGAAACATAGAAGTTAGGGAAGTACTAAGGAAGAAAGGAAGGAAGGACGGTTCAACTACAGAGCTGTGTGATGCTGACTGCTGTCTCTCTAACTCGGTAAGGCTGCATGACGACCGCACCTTATCTCTTTGAGATTTTACATCTCAGTCCCTTATGGAGTTATTTTTGGCCCGCCCATGACATTTTTCACATAGAGAGAAAAATCTTAAATCAGGAGCAGTGTCTTAGGTTTTGAGAGACAAAACTATTTTAGAGAGATTTTTTTTCACTCTGATTGTAAAAATAACAATATTTGACAGTAAAGACAGATTTTTGAGACAGATTTTTTTTCCCTTGAAAATCCTTTTCCAGATGCCAGTTTATCTTTTATTTATTTCATGAAAAATATATTTTCTTCAATCTCAAACATCACATTTTGCTCTCAAAGGGAACATTTGTTCTCTACCATATATTTATTTTACTTTCAAGATTGTTTTTCCCTTTCAGATCGCTTTTTTAAATGGAATTCAATAAAAATACAAAGATAACTCCATAGTCGCTAAGATTTACATCACATGTAAGCATGTGATCCTGGCAAAGTCCACCAAAGAGGCCAGTACTGGCAGGCAGTTCCTTTGTTAAACAGCTGTAGATGGTGACGAGAGAAAATTAGCTAATAGCGGATCAGAGCTAGACTAAACTCTGTGATCGGATATCAGCCATACAATCGCTGATTCTACTTGTATGAAAACCAAAATAACACTTACAGATATATTCTTTTATGTCTAATCAGTGAAGTTGCTTTCAATAATGACATTTTTGGAAGGTACCACAATATTCTAATCATTGTAATATTAATTTCTAATAAACTTACACTGAACAAAATGAACTCACTTGAGTCTTTAGATGTGACAGAGGAGTTAATGTTCTTCTTTTCTCCAGCTTCAGTGTTGTTTTTGGGTTGTGCCCCATGAGCAAAACCCTGCTTGTTGGCTTCAAGAAAAATATTTGCCACTGTTAGCAGAAACTCCATGCTGGCACACAGGTACACATCCTGCACCACAGTATCGATATTGGTTCCATCAAGCCCCTGACGATAGTTCACCTCCACCATCATGTTTTGCTCTGCGCCAGGCCGCAGTTCCATCATCCTGGAGNAAAAGACATGAGGTTTCTTTTAACATATGATACTTTGAGTAAGTCAACCAAAAATAAGATGACTGCAGTTTTCAAGATCTTTAAATTATATTTGTAAATTGCAAGTTTACTAGTTTTTAGATTTTTTATTCTAGGGTTCAATTTTTTTTTTAGATAATGACATAAAACTCATCTCTTAACCATGGCCTCTCTGTAGCTCTGTGGTTTACACATGACACTCATTTTCTCTGTATTAAAGGTTTCTTCCTTTTGAAGGGTTTCTCCATCCTAAATTTATTTTTAGTGTCTTAATCTGCAGAAGGGACTAATAGTCCTTTTCCATTGAAGAGAAAAAAATAAAAATAACTCAGTTGAACTTCTCAAACCTCGGGGTGACCATCTTGATTCTTGGCCTCTTATCATCTAGGAGGCACGTAGAGAGTCGCACAGATGCCTCCATGGAGCTGTCAGAGAACATGTGGACAGAGGTGGAGATGGTGCCCAGACTAAACTCTGCCAGCTTTAGCTGCTCGTCATGTGGGTCTAAGAGCTGTATCTGTAAACAAAATAAAGAACATTGATTATGCTGACCTCATGCTCCACATAAGCTAATAAAAGATGCATATGGAGAACTTAAGTATAAAAGGTCTAGAGAGAAATAAGTAGGTAAGCAGGTTCGTCTTATTTCTAGAGTTATGGTTTCATGAATGGTGATAGGTTCATTAATAATCCTTATCCTATCCAGTCATTTTCATACCAAAAACACTAGCAGAGAGTAGGAACAGCAACACTATTATGTGTGGAAGCTGGTACTAAGGGGAAAAACAAACTTATACAACTTAAAGTATTAATTACTGTATGACAAAAAATAAGCTTGATGGAGAACAGAGATACGAGAATACGTAAACAACAAAACAAAGAAAGAAAAGCAGATAGTTACTAAAGATGGTTTTAAATTTAAACATTAAGGGATTGCTTTCTCATAAAGGGGTGACTTTATACTTATACAAAAACAATAATGAACACTTATGGCAAGAAACCATAATGTTGCTAGAGAAATAAGAGTCAGCAGTTAAACAGTAAAAAAAAAAAACCTTCAGGATCAGTGCATCTCTTAACAAATGTTTTGCCCCTTTTTATTTAAATGTGTGAACTTGTTTCAACATACCACGTTCTCATTGGGGCTGTACAGAACCAGCGTCATGGAGTCGAACTTGAAGTCCAGTTTAAGCGTAGTAGTCCTCGGCTTACTGTGTTTCTGGGTCTCCACAACAGCAGCTATCACCACCGTGTTTCCTGCTGCAAATTTATTGCCAGGTTAAAGGCTTGACTTAAAATATTTCTCACATTTTCAGATTTCCCGCAGAGATTTGAAGGATTTTATGGTGATGATGAATATACCAAACAAACAAAAAATAAAAAATAAAAAAGATTTGAGAAAATAAATAAAGCTAAGCTCTGGACATATGAATAAAAATGTTCTCAATACGTAGACAATGCTGTGTAAGTCTATAAAGTAAGCCAATATTTTTGCTAACTGCTGATAAATCACAGATTGTCATGAAAGCTTACTGTTGGCAGGTTCAACGGTTCCTGAGCCTTGGGATCCTTTGTTGGATACAGAATCAGAGGAGCGATCAGTGGCGGGCAGAAGAGCTGGAGGCTGAGCGGTTTCAGACTTTTCTGACAGGTTCTCATTCAGAGTCCTCAAGACGATGATCATGTCATCCTGGCAGAGGATCAGCTGTGAGAAGCAGACACAGGTCATCATCAACATCAAAAGAATAATTTAATGCATTCTCTGTAACCTTAAGAAAATTATGAAAAAAACTATATGCAATGAAGTTTTCCCCTTATCTGTGAATTTATTAGTAAAACTGTTTTCCCAAAACATGTGCTAACGATTATAAATATATATACACTTACACTGAGGGGCTTCAGATGAGCAGTGATCTCTATGTCAGGGATGCTGTGGTACCAGTTTGCTGAAAGATTGCGTTGGATTTCCAGGTTCAGGCTGACTGGCTTCAGCAACTGAGTCTCTCCTTCAAAATCCATATTTTTGTAAGTGGTTCTGAAAGCAACAGCAATACAACAGTTGTCAAAAGTAATTAAAAAAAAATAAGACGTTTATAAACTCCTAAAATGTGTATAGCTGTAGCTAAGGCACACCTGTACATCTTGAGGTCAGTCAGTTTCACTGTCATTTTATCCACAACCGGTGGGATTGGAGCATTATTTCTAAATGGCTGCTTGATGAAATGGTTTTTGATGGACAGGAGGCCCAGATCAGCGACGATGACATTTGTAGAGGAGGAGGATTGTGGGAGGAAAATCACAGGTGCATTGAAGTGGACATCAAGAGCGATTCGAGTGCTTCTCTCAGCTAGCTCCTTCACTCCAGATGCTGCCTTTTCTGCAGCCTGAACCGTCACCTCAGCGAGGGCCTCTTTAGCCTCTTGGAAGTTATTAATAAACACCTGAAAGGGAAAAAAAAAACAGAGTTTTTTAAATCTAGCATTAATTCTGTCCGACTTAAGATAACCTCAAAATATGTAACCCTTACCAGAATGGAGGAGACAAACTTGTTGAGGAAAATGACCTGAATGCACCCGACTTCCAGTGACACAGATGTGTCGACTTTAGTCATGTCAAGGTAGGCGTCTCCTTCTGTTGCCCCTGTGTAGTTCATCATTCTGAAGGAAAAAACCTGCTTATCTGCAATCGATACCGCCTGAAGAAAAGGAAACATGATAGAGAATTTGAAAAAGGAAAACCTTATGGACATTAACTAAATCAGTGAGCTGCAATTCTATATTAGAGCGCTCAATATAGATATAGAACATATAAACAAGAGGAGGTGAAATCCCAACACCGAGTTAGAGGACAGAAAATAACAAAGTTGATGCTTTTTATCAGTGTTGTTATTATCTATTCAAATAGTCCAACTCTGTCTATAATTGAACCTTTTGGATTTTTAAAATGTTGAGAGTGGTAGGATTAAGGTCTATGATTACAAGGAAATATACACAGACACTGATGTTGACAATCTTTAATGATATCAGATTGTGAAGATGGTTCTATGTAGTTCCTACTTCAAACACTGAATGATGCTTCATTGGTGGACAACCAGGATTCATAAAAATTAAGTTACAGCCATAAACTTAGCTTCAATGTGAATTCAGGGAAAAAATTACGTCTTTTTCAAATCAACAGTGAAATCTTCTTAGCTGCAGAGCTTCTTGCAGGAATCCTGTAGAGCTACAATAAGTTTATGAACTACCAAGCAAACATAGCAGATATTAAATTAAAGATCTTCAGTTAGAAATAAGTTAGATAAAACTGCTATCCATTTTGAAATGATTTCAGCAGAAAAATATACATGTTGTGACATTATGAACATTCATGTTTTTCAGTACTAGTACAGCTACCGCTGTCCCATAATAACCTGGAGGATTTTGTAATTTTCTAGTCATGCAGAGAGAATTCAGTAACTCTGGGTTTATTAGAGAATTCCCAGATATAATTAACAATGTTGATTAAACACAAAATCTCACAGTCATCAAAACTATAGACACTTATTTCCTTATGAGTAAAAGTAAATTATTAGCAGCTGGTCACAGCTTTACAACATTTTGGATCAGATATCAGACGCTGTCTCTTCCACAGGTGCATCCTTGTGTTACATGTGATCTCAGAAGTTTATTAAAGCAGTTCTTTTTTTTTTTTTATACAGTGTCCTGTCTGGCAATGTGGCAATAAGAATAATTGTCTTGATGCCAAAAAGAGCCCAACAGATTTTACTTTCACAAGTGGAGCAGTAGGGCTATTGCCATATTGCTCCACTTGTTTCATGCATATAAATTGCTTTATTATAATTATGCAGGGAGTTTTACAGTTTATATGGACACTGCAATGTAAATAGAGCAGAAAAACAGAAGAAGACAGGGGAAAAAGAAAAACAAAAGAGAAAAGATGAAAGAAAGAAGAGATAGAAAGGAGACAATGACAAAACATTTTCAGTCTGCTTCATCACCTGTAACGAGATGAAAAAAGAACAGCACAACCGAAAGACATGGTACGAAATATACAATAAAGCAACACCTTGAAACTATCGCTAAAGTAATATTATTAAGTCTGACATGTACTCTGCGTTACCTGAAGATATGAATGTGGGGTTTCTGTTTGGAAGTTAATCTCTAAGTACCTGGAGCCAAGCACCTGTAATTGTTTGTGAGGGTGAACTTGTGCATGTAAAGTTTATCCATAGAAAAAATGCTCAATAGTGGTTGTGGAGAGCTGGAGAAGCACACCCCCCAGAGCACTGAGTCCAGCGCCGGGAGACCCAAAGCCCCAGGCGCCCAAAGGGACCCCAAGAGCGAAGGCACCAAGGAGGAGCCAGCCCCGGAAATCAGACCCCCACCAAGGGAGGAGGAGAGACAGCCCCCAAGAAGCCCCTCAGCCGTCGCAGGGACGAGTCCGTGGGCTCTGCCGGCAGCCGGCCACCCTGAAGTAGGGCCGGGCACTGAACACCGGCCCCCCCACAACACCGACCGAAACACCCCAGCCCCACAGAGCACCGAAACACGCCCCGCCCCCCGGCACCAAGCCCCGGCGACCGGCCGCAACACCCAACGCAACCGCACCACCCAGGAAAAACACACAGGCGGCCACACCCACAGCCAGGGCCCATGCGCATCGCGAGCGCCGCGGGACCCCCCCAAAACACCCCCCAGGCCAAAAGCGCGGCCCCACCCCACCAAGACCGATGCCAAGAGCGCGCAACGCAACACAACACACCGCGCACAGAATCAACCCAAGAGCAGAAAAGCCGCCCGGCGCCCGACTGCAAGAAGAAAAGCAGTTCTTAACATCGTTTACCTTCTTGTATAAGGCGTCTTTATTGCAGTCAAGGATCACAATACTTCTTAAGTTGGCACGGACCGCCATGTCCTTCTTTCTCATCGTGACCTCAGTGACCAGACCTGAGGAGTCAAGGAAATCCCACACTGAGAAAACCTTAGCAAATTTGGAGAAGGCTTTACTGTTGAACAGCTTTCATTTCCGTTCTACTATTTTACAATTTTAGTTCATGCCTTCTGCTAATATTAAGAAGGCATTTCTATTTGCTGAGCGGAACAATCTGGGGTATGGCTGTTTAATATTTTTCACTTGCCTTCGATGCTAATCTCTGAGATCCTAGCTTTCTGTCCTCGAATAAAGACTTTCAAGCATTGCAGGTCAGCTCTCACATGAAGATTCACCACATCTGCAAACTTTGAGCTTTTAGAGGCTGAAAAAAGAAAGTAAAGGGATTATTGGCCAAGAGGGAAGCCATAGGAACACTCAAATTAGATAATCAACTAAGCATCACATTTAATAAAGCATGTAAATTACATTCAGCATTGACACAAGCTTTACGTATAATGCATGAAAACATACATTTTTTCCTTATCACAGCTGTTTCTTCCCTCTTCTCTCCTTCTTTCTCTCCCTCGGCCTCTTCCTCCTCTGGGATAGTGGGAAGCTCTTCTGGCCCTGCTTCCTTCTTAGTGGACTGAGGAAGGAGGTTGGTGAGGAAGTTCATGGTGTTGAGGAGAGCTTCTGTATGCAGATGAACGTCCAAGGAAGAAAACACCACCTGACAAGGAGAATCATTTCATTTTCTTTTTATAGAAAGAGGAACTTTACTGAAAAATACCAATCAACCCATTTTACCTGATTGAAACTGCAATTTTATTTTAGTTTATCAAATAGATAAAAAAAAAATTTAAGCAAATGCAAAGTTTATAATAGTTGTTTTGTTTTGGTTTTAGTGCAAAGCAGATAAAGAGCAGAGAGCTATTGCTTGGGGCATAATTAAAAATAATTCCCCACAATCCTTTGATATTGTGATGCAGTCAAAAATACCTCTATCAATGCAGCACTTTTTTATATAAAATGTTGACATCTAGCAGACGGATTAAAACAAAATTAAAAAAACTGTGACTTGATATAAAACTCCTAAGCAGTGGGTTCAGAACGGAAATGTTATACAGTATGAAGTTGACCTGGTGTTAAAACTCTAGCTTAAATGGACAACGTTCATGTTCGTTTTCACTACAGAATATAAATACTCTCAACACATTTACCATTTTGAAAAGTATAGTACATCTTCATGTTGTGTAGATGTCTTGTTTACCTTGATTAGTTGCTCTGTGTTGTTATGCTGAGTTTTAAACTCTGGGCCATTCTTATCAGCCTAAAAGGTAGACACAAATAGAAATAAGAACATTATTTGTCACCATATTGTACATACAGATGAAAAACAGAAGTTCTACTGCATCAAAAACATCTACACATTATGCTGCCATCCCCATAATTCAGATTGAGAGGCTGTTCTTAAGCGCTCGCCGACTGCTTACCTCTGCCAAGCAGCAAATTTTGCCCCAAATTATGACTTAGACCTAGAGCTAAAACTCATTCATGATCTGGATTTATTACTAAATTTAAAGGAATTGTTCCTTGGCATTAAGCACACCTATGGTAAAATGTTTTTTTCAATTCAGTTTATTTATATAGCGCCAATTCACAACACAAGTCATCTCAAGGCAATTGATTCAAAGTTTTCTATCTAAGGAAAACCAGTTGATTGCATCGACTCATTGACTCGAATGCAATCCCTCACACTAAGCATGCTTGTAGCAACAGTGGAGAGGAAAAAACTCCCTTTTAACAGGAAGAAACCTCCAGCAGAACCAGGCTCAGTGTGAGCGGCCATCTGCTGAGGCCGACTGGGGTTCAAGGAGACAGAAGCAGAGACACAAAAAGCAGCTGCAAAAGGCGGCCCCGTCCAGGAAACACACAGCCACGCAGACGAGCACTGAGCCAGCTCCCATGCCAGAGGACGAAGAGAGCACATCCAGCCAGTCACGGTCAGAGAAACAGGGCTACACTGGAAAACAGGCCAATCTCCAGCATCTAGACCGAGCTCCATAAAATCCGTTCATAAGTTTTCAATTGATCCTGTTCAAAAACCAACAACGTTCGCATTACTTGTGTTTTTGTCATCAGTAAAATACCTCAGGACTTTCTGAGTCTGATGCTGAGGCTAGTCACGACTGCCACCCTCTGGTTTAGTGGGGAACTGCTTGTTCCACCAAACATTCCCATCTCATAATCTGAGAGAATCTTTAAAAACATTTCTGTATCCAGCTTATGATGTGGATCCTCACCAGATTTTAATGGGTTGTTCCTTGGCATGAGAGACACCGCTGATAAAATGTCATTGAAATCTATCAATAACTTTTCAAGTTATCCCGAGACAGACAGACAAACAATCTCTGTTCTGAATCATTTTTGAGCTTGCATAAATCTCCAGCCCCAAGCATGATGAGCTGACATAAGCAGACATGGCAACATCTGCCCACAGTACCATGAAAAATACCAGAAAACCAGAGTGCTACGGTTGATGCAGCTTCTTTATAGAGTCCAAATGTCCTGCAATGCCTCATGGTAAAGCTGGGCATGGTCAAACACCAACTGATATCAAATTAAATAAATCAATCCTACAGCAACTCTTAAGTTCAAGTAAATCCTTGCCAGAACCTCCTATCCTTCCCTGAATTTAATCTGATGTGAGTCTTCTGAATTTTAACAGCTGTGCAGGAAAACAAATGATAGTAATTATGGCCGAACCTTTTCAGCTTGGTTCTTTACTGGACAACAAAAACTGATGGCTTTATACCTGTGAGCACTTTTAAAATAAAATCCTGGTCAGTGCTGTTGCAATATCGGCCTCCTCCCCTCTAACTATTCAGCCCATTTCTGTAGAAAATCTCTTTAATGAAGGAAAATTACAATTTACTTCAAGCTTCAGCCAACATAATCAAAAAGGCTATTGATTTTGTTCCTGGCTTAAATCGAACAGCACCGTGATGTCACACAACCAGGAAGTATCATTTTTGTTAGTGTAAAACACAACCAGAAGTTCTCTTCTATTTATTCCAATGCTGTGAATTATTCTATCAGAAACACACACAAAGCCATCACATCATCTGTTGGGCTTTCTTAAATAGTTTTAACACATCATGTTCTAACTGCAATTAAACTTCTCAGTTAAAATACTGTATTATATTCTTATTATTCTGACATAAAAATAATTAAAAAAACTACCGTACTTGTAACCAATAGAAAAAAATTTTTTTTCGTGTAATCTAATGTTTAACATTAAGAAAAAAATAGGTTATAAATAACTTCAATCTGTATGCAAATATTGAACCTGAACAGATCTGCTTTAATATTGGTGGTAAACATTACCTTGACATAATCCAAGGTCAAGAGGTCATCTTTGCTGTTGTCTAAAGTGGTGATCAGCTGGACCTGCTTGTCTTCAGAATCTACATAGAGGAATCAGAATTACTTACTAGGAAATTCTTTTCTTGAATGGCGGCCATTTACAGAAGAGAGAAAAATAAGAATGTAAGTATAATAAAGCAAAAAATAAATAAATAAAAATAAATAATTTATATATATATATATATATATATAAAAAACAATAAGACAGAATAAAATAAGATATAAAAATAAAATAAGGATAAGAATAACGTAAGGATCTCAGTGACAAAGTGTTAAAAGAATGAAAAAAAGCGTCAGAAAAATGAAATAATAACTAAAATGTAAGAGAACATTTTTTTCAGAGAATGTCCTAATTTATTTCCTAACCCATATATTCAGGACACTTCAGGCAAATCTCTCGCAGGAAGGTGCTTGACGACATGTCAAAGGTGCGCAGCATCAGCTCGGTGCCCAGACCCTCGATATGAAGGTGAAGAACTACGACCTCCTGAGCTCCCAATAGACGGCACAGCTGAACAGACAACTAGAACATAGAAGCACAAAGATAAACAATAAAGGAAAACAGTTTATAAGGTTAGGTGAGGTACGAAAGGGAGCAGACTTTCTATATGAAGTGCTACCAGGCAGATAGCAATATTAGATAAGTGTCAAATAGACTGAATTAGTTTCTACTCTTTGACTCACATCGTTGTTGTGTTTAGTGTATGCAAACAGCGATAAAAAATGTATCAGAATATAAGCCCCCAAATGAACTATATTACAAGCAAATGATAACCGACACCTAGTTTTAAATGACCCGTTTTACCTCAGTGATCTCAAATCTCAGGGAGAAGTCAGTCATGTTCTTCTGAGGATCTTCCATCTGATTGTTTCTTTTGGTTCTATCTGCATATCGTAGTGGCAAGGGATTGTCAGGGAAGAAAGGCTTGTCTCCTATCGGAGAGCTGGGAGCATCGTAAAACAAATCTTCCTGTGACCCTGTGAGGTTTCCAAAACAAAACACAAGCTTTAGTATGATCTTACTTCCACTGCCTTACTTTCTAAAACTGCGTAACAGGCTCACTTTCATAAATTAATGGTACAGCAGGATGCAAACTCAGGTTACCTTTTTCTACAGCCAGACAAAGTCTGAGCTAAGAGTGCCAAAGTTATTCTTAATGTCAGGGTATATAGTCACCTTATTGTAAAAGAAACTTGTTTTCAACAGTATCTCACCCAGTGAGGTGATGCTGATGGTCTCACAGGACTCAAAAATGAGAGAGGAACGCTGGTCAATCAAACTCAGGTGTTTTCTTCCAGTAAGCCGAGGTGTAAACGACTGCTTTGACTGAGGAGACGAACACAAAAGTTCAACCGCATCTTATCGAAACGCTAATCACTACGAAAGGACTATAAAGAACCATCGATTTAATTCACTAGATTTTCCTCAAAGATTGTTTCTGTATTCCCATCAGGCAACCGATTTTCTCTTACCCTTGTACTGGAAGATGAAGTGGTGCCTCGTGCTGCAGGTTTGCTTTCAGGCAGAGGAATACTGTCCACCAGTTCCAGAACACTTCGAAGTTTGTTATCAGAAATTCGAAGAGACAGTCGTGGGAGGTCACCGTGCATTTTATACCTTAAACACAAACAATACAACATAAATGGTAAAAAAAGTTTCAGTAAAATATTTGGAAAAGATCCCCAATAATACCAGAAACATGCTTGTCAATACATCTATCCAATGTTATTTTTCATACACTCTCACAATATTACTATTTTTGATTGTGTACTGCTCCTTGGTATGAATGAGTTCTTGCAATCTGAAATTCCACAAAAAAAAAAAAAAACAGCTAATCCCTTGGAAGTAAACCAAGCAAAGACATCTGTACACTTACTTTGGCATCCGTGAGTCTTTCACAACCATGGCTCTGCTGAAAACCACTTTCAGGTCCACGGGCTCCAGGATATGAAGCGGAGACTGCCTCTGTTTGCGAGCAGTTTTCCAGTCACCACCTGCAGTTGATTACAGTGTTTTTACATTTTCACTGAATTAACACAGACAGAGGTAAATACAGTAATCCCATTATCAGTGGAAACATTGTTTTGGATTAAACGTTTACTTAAACAGGATACAATTTAATCTAAGGGTCATAATTAAACTGAAAAAATGTGCAGACAGCAGATTGTAAACTAATAAACTGAGTACCTGGTTTGCTGTAAAGGAACTGTAGGCTGCTGAGCTGGATATCAAAGCTGTCGTATGCTCTGGACATGATGTCTGCAATGTTGCTGGAATTCACTGACAGCTGGGGCAAATCCTTCTTACTCTGGCTGGACATCTGAAAGCCAAGGAAGAGGAAGTTCAGCAATTTTTTTTAGATCATATTTATAGTATTTAAGCGTTTGGTACGCAACATGTTCTCACCTTTAAATGACCAAGATCCAAAAGCATAATGTTCTGCTTTCCATCATAATAGCCACTTTGTGGAATAATGACGTAGGAGGCCATCAAGTTCAGCTTCAGGTCCAGGACTTTCTGTGTTTCAATCACGTACAATAAGCCTGAAAAATGAAATCACATTCATTCATTACTTCCTGCTCTTAGTTTTCAATTTATAGAATATAAGGTAAAGGTATTTTCTATTCCTTGGTATAAAGAAAGATGGATAACAAGAAGAACGAAATAATGAAAGCATAGAAGGAAAGATGGAATTTATTAAACACTGAAGAAGAAAGTTTGCGTTACTTAATATAATTAAGTTCTTATTTGCTGTAAGCTCATTTTAAAAAGCTCACAGTTTACAGAAAGGCTTCAAATTGTGGCACAAAAACAATCAGGATCTAAGAAACCTCTAAAGCAGATTAGTCGATTCTTTCATAACTTACAAGCCAAAATTTAGTCTTTAAAATGGAAGGAAGAAATGGGAAAATAATTGAATGAAGATAAAAAAAAGAAAAAAAACTTGCAACAGGCAGAAGCAAACAGCATGAAGATCATAAAGAGGAAATGTTGAATCTGACTGCTGAGATGGTTCAGAGTCAAGATATGCTGGATTTCCACAAACACAACACCAGTTAGAAGAAGGAATGTAAACACAGAGCCATCAGATAGTGGAGAGATGGAACCTGATAATACGTTTGTGAATATTTGTGCAACTCACCAGTGGCCGTGCGATCTCTAAACTGCTCCAGCTTCATCAGGGTGGCGTTGGTAAGCTCATCCAGCTGCAGGTCATCAGAAGGTCTGAAGAACTCTGCCATGTTGTTCACCGTTATCTAGACAAACAACAGAACAAAAACGTTTTACCAAAACATTTCTGCAAGTTGAATGCTCCATTATCTCACTTTACAGCCATCTGTCAATTTACATAGGACTCATAAAAACCTCAACAAAGGAGAAAATATGCATGCATGCATTTAGACCAATTTTCTCTGGAAACTCCCAAATAAAATCTAGGAAACCATCAGCCAGTAGAAGTGTAAGCACACATGCCTGATCTAATCTCATGAATATTAATGGTTTGAGAGATGTATGAGGAGGGAGCCAAGAAGACAAAAAGGTCACGGATACAATAATGGAAAATGATGAAGCAGGGTTATGTTTTAACAATTTCCCAAGCTCTGAATGTTTTAAGAATTGCTGTTCAATTCATTATCTGACATAATTTGGAAAATTAAAAATCTACCAAGACCTCCCATTTCAGCAAACTAAAAACCAAACCAAAAAATAGCCGACAGGCTCCAGATAACTCTTTGAGAGACTGTTAATAGTTCAGAATGGCAAGACGAGAGGTATTATTAAACGAAAGCAGAAAGAAGTCCAGTTTTCAGTTTACCATAAACATTTAGGGGACAGAGGTAAAGTGGAAAAAAAGTGCACATTAAATTTAAGAAGCCATTTGTACTGTCAAACATGGCTGTGACGGCATAATATAGGGGGGGATTTGCTTCAACAGCCTATGAGAAGGGTGATAAATGAAGCCTAATACAGGGCATCCCTTAAAAAAAAGAAGGTAAGAGAGAGGAAATTTTTCTACTTATGCAAGTACCTCTGATTCCAGCAGTCCAATATTCATGGGAAATTGGCCTTATAAGGTAACACATACTTGGTCACACACACATAAACACAATGGAAACCGTCACTCACTGCATCATAGATGATTTCCAGCGGTTCAGACTCAACGTAAAGCCGCTGGTTAGCGCTCTCATCCAGCGGGTTGGTCTCAAACAGGATGAATAGCAGCGGGTTTCCGTCTTTTGTAGCCGCCTTTCTCGATGAGAGGAGGGTTGGTGCCGGCCTATTAGTGGCCAGTCCAGTCACCTCAAACAAAGTAAGCTTAGCTGTGATTCTATTAGAAAAGGAAGAAAGTCATCTGATCAAAAGAAATTCAGAAATAGAATTTGCAATTGAAAACAAAAAGAAAAACGTCTTACTTAATGGCTTGTGCTCCCGGTCTCTGTGCGAGTGTTGACTTGAGCTCCCCCACAGTCAGCTTCATGAGCTCATTTTTATCCTTATTGTCTTTGATGGACACAGACAGTTTTTCCATGTGGAAATTGACCTTAATGTCCTCAAACTAAAAGCAAACAACATTGTAGATTTTATTTTTATTGAGCAAACATGCATTTGTATTAAAGCCTAAAATAATCGCTCATGCTGTGATGTAAAACTGTTCGAAACATTTTAACTGCAATCATTCCAGAACTAAATCAATAAAATAATATTTCAGTAAATGTTGTACACTCAATTGACTCAATGGCTGCCTGCAGGATGTGAAGACACGGGGCTGCATCTTTGACAACCTTGTCTGCTGTATGTCTACATCAACTGTCACCTTCAGAAGTTCTAAAGCCTGGTTCACATGGCAAGTTATTTGTGTAAGATTTTCACTCATTCGAGAGGCTCTAATCATTTGGATGGCTCTAAATCTAATCTGAAATTATCAAGACATATGGGGTTTATTAAGAGTGATCAGATCTGCTAAGAAGAGCATCGGGACAGTTCTGACCACAAATTGGTGAAATCAAACATGTTGGAATTCCTTGGTCTGACCTTACTGTGTGTGGAGACCTCTATGCTCAAAGAAGGACAAGGCTTGTTAATCTAGCCAATCACACAGGGGTTCACAGAAAACAAAAACACAGCAACTCAGCATTGTAGCAAGAAGCTTCTCCACTTACACATTCTCCAATCCCCTAACTGAACTCTTTTATTTTTCCTCTTTCAAAATTTCAAGACATTTTGTGAGTTTTCCCATCTGATCTTAGAATGTTGTTGAAGCGAATATATTGTGTGTGTCATGTCATACTTGTCATGTGGCTGCACACTACACATGGTAGCACCAAACTGTAAATATCTCCAAATTAGCATTTTGAAAAATGACTCAGAAACTTTAAAATCATACCATGTGACTAAGCCTTTAGATGCCTGAAGGTTTTTACATAATAGGTCAAAGGAGACGCTTCCTGCTGAGGAGACTGAGGTCTTGTGAGCACGGAGTGTTTCTGAAGACCTTTTATTAACTCTGTTGTGGCATCAGCCATCTTATACGGTTCAATTTGTAGAATCTGCAGCTTTTCTACAGCTAAGAGGAAGCAAAGATACACCCTCAGCAGGAAGACCCACTGTTTTCTGGGAAACCCCTAAACAGAGAGCAGGTGGTGGTAGACAGAAGACTGGCAAAAAAAGAACAGGAAAACATCTTCAGGACGTCTTTAATCCCATGCATTAAGCTGTTTCACAATATAAAAGGTGCTGCTATTTGCAGTTTTTTTTTTTTTATTATTTCCTATAAGTAGTATTTTACACAAATATACAGTACATGGTCATTTTGTTTTAGTACCGTATTTTCACGACCATAAGGCGCACCGTACTAAAAGGCGCAGTCTCAGTTATGTGT